GTTAAGTGAGGTCATTAAACCCTTCCCAGGGTGAAAGCTACAGAAACACCATCCCCCAGAAGCACAGCTGGGTTTGACTCACTGCAAAACCCAAACCTGCAGTTCAGCACCGTGGTGTAAGTGCAGCCCAGCCAGTGCAGAGCCCCTGAGGAACCCCTGGATTCCTGCTGGATCACCTCTGGCAGCTGGGCATTCCTGCAGGACACCTCAGTCTGTGGGATGGACACACAGAGTGGAGCCTCCTATAAACACCCTCATTAAAGCCATTTAAAGCCATTAAAGCCAACTCTTTATTCATATGTAATGGGGTGTGGGAAACCCACACCATCAGCAGCACAGGATTCCTCTCTGTCAGTGGTACAGATGGACCCCACACCCTAACATCCTTCCAGGCTGAGGGTTGGGTTTTTGCCCCTGTTAATAACTTCTACCTGCTAAATAGATACAAATATCTAATCTATCTACCTGTCTAATTGCCAGGACCAGCCCTATGACTTTTTTAAGTTACAGGGACATTTGTTACCACTTCTTCCTGTGGGTCAGTAGCTGCTTTTGAAGACAGATAAGCATTTTTCATCTTCAATATGTGTTTAGGCTCCGTTGCTAAACACCACAAACTCAAGATATCACAAATATGCCAATGCTTTACAGACAAATACAAACACATTAAGACTGCACAAATCCAGTTGTAGCACTCTGCTCTTCCCAGATGAGTGCGGGCAGGCCTGAGGCACGTTCCCAAGCCCCCAGGGAGGGCTCACCTGCAGCCCCCAGGCTGTGCCAGGCCATGCCTGCCCTGCAGGGACCCACAGAGCTGCACTGCAGTGCCACTGCCAGCTCCCGGGCTGCCCTTGCCACCAGCACGGGAGGCTGTCTGTCTGTCTGTCTGTCCTCGCCCAGCACTGCAGAGTGCTCCGAGAGCAGCCCCTGAGCTCCAGACAGAGCAGGGTTTGCTGCAGACATGCAGTGCTCCTGCAGCACGGCTCTGTAAGTCACCCAGAGCAGCTGTGTGCCCACACTGCGGCCCTGCTGCCAGCACGGGGGACACGAGACAGCTGGGAACAAACCCTGTCACACACCCAGGGGACAGGGAACAATGCAGCAGGCACAAGGTGGCCAGCAGGTGCTGGCTAACCGCAGCCTGTCCCAAAGGCTGGCCCTGCAGCCCAGCCCCGTCCCACACCTGCCCCTCCATGAGCACCTAACAGCTCTCTCATAGAGCTGCCCCGGCTTGGAAAGGAAAGCATTTGCCTGGTTCTTCCAGCCAAACACAAAGTGCAAAGTCTTGAAAGGATCATGGAGAACGCAGGGCAGGCAGGAGAACGTGACCTAACAGGGGAAGAGGGGTCCCTTCCGCCAAGCTACAGCTCCTGTGTCTTTACTCAACACCTCACACGTTCAAACACAGACCTGCAACCCAGCTCTCAGGACAGCAACCACTGCACTTCATCGAGTTTTTATTAACTGATTAATATGAATTATGTGCCTTGTGATGGTTATCCTTAAAATCCAATGAGCGGTCATTGACAGAGAACTATCTGTATAAAAAGAAGTCCAAAATATTGCTATTGTATCCCCACCAGCCACATTCTGGTGAGCACAGTCCAACTTTGGAGGGTGCAATTTGAAACAAGCACTACAGGGGCACATGTGAAACCCTCCATGGACTGGGAAAACAGGAAAATGAAACTGCCTCAACAGAAGTGACTCTTTTACTAGAACTGCTGAAGTTCATTAGAGGATGTCAACAGAAAAAACCCTCACTCCAAATCTAGTGGCAGTATTTTTGTTTAATATGTAACGATAAATGCAAAGGGAGAGTGTGTGTGAGTACTCAAAGCTGGCGTGGAGCAGGTTTGAAGGAACAGACAATTCAGTGCTTCTGGAGCCCACGCGTCCTGCCGCGGCACGGGAGCTGCACGCTTCCCGCGGAGCACACACAGGCCAGCGGCCAAAAGGGCTCCTAAAGCACCGATTTCAGCCACGGAACGCGGCCACAGCCTGGGGACCGCGGGCAGGAGAGCCCCGGCCCGCCCTGGCCACACGGACCGGGCCGGGAGAGGAGCAGGGCAGGGCAAGAGCCCGAACGGCGGCCGGGGCTCCGGGCCCGGCCCCGCCACGGGCTGCGGCCCGCCCGGCCCGGTTCCGGCGCGCCGGGACACGAGTCCGGCAGGGCCCCCGCTACCTCCGGAGCCGCACCGGGGCCGCTCCCACCGCGGGCCCTCGGCAGCCCCGGGAAGGCGCGGACGGGCCCGCCGGGACCCGCGGACGGGAGCGGAGACGGCTCCGGCTCCACCCCCGCCCCACCGGGCCCCGCTCGGGCCGCGCCGCCGCCCCCTCCCCCCGGCCGTGGCCCCCCCTCCGCCGGGCGCCTCCCGCCCCGCCGTTCCCGGCCGCGGCCCCGCGGGTGCCCCGGGACGAGGCGGCCCCGGCGCGGCCCCGCCGCCCGGCCCGGCCCGGCCCCGCTCACCCGCGCCCGTGGTCGCCGCCATCTTGCGCCGCCGCCGCCGGCCCCGCCCCCGCCTGACGTCACCGCAACGCGGGAACTGCGGCCACGGGCGCGGGCGGGCGCGCTAAGGGGAGCTCGTGGCGGGGCGGGCCCGCGCAGAGCTCCGTGGTGCACGGGCGGCGCTCCCATGGCTTCGCGGCGCGGGCGGGCGTTATCGCCGCTCGGTGCAGCCCCGGGGCTCCGGGACACCAGCGCCATGGCGGGCGTGCCACACCCCCCTTACATTCCGGCCCTGCTTCCCCCAGCCCGCTCCTTTCCGGCACAATACGGAAAAAAAGTTAAAAGAAACGGGAAGGAAATGAGTTCTGCTTCACTTCGCTTTGCACCATACGCTCAGAAAACCGAGCCCCAAAAGAGCCCCTGAGAACAGCCGGAATAATCACGAAGCAAATCGTTCTGGAGACCCACGGCAGCTCCAGCCTCGCTGTGCAGCGAGCCCTCCCAGCCTCAGCCTCGAGCAGGGACGGGGCCATCGATTGTTCCTGGAAGCTGCTGTAGAACAGCAACGCTGCGTTTATTTACCCGGGCACACTTCACTGCACGGCCCGGCCAAGGCAGCGGGAAGGGAAGGAAAGGAAAGGAATGGCAGCAGGAGAAGCAGCCAGAGAGCCCGAGAGCCCGGCCTGGGCAGCACTGCAGCACCCATTGCCCCTGCAGCATGGGGCTGCTTGGGGTGCATGGTGAGCACCCATTGCACAGCTGCCAACCAGCACTCCCCTCCAGCTTCCACACTGCTGAGCCAGGAGGATCGCAGGGACAGGCAGCACACTGAGCCAACGCCTCCAGTGGGACCGTGAGGCACCCTGCAGTAATTCTCCTCAGTTTACTACAGCACAGTGTCCCCAGACTGCTCTGCCTGGGAGGCTTCTGCAGTGCCATGCTGCATGTGAGGGATCACCCCTGCTCCTGGGATGTGTGCAGGGAATCACCCCTGCTCCTGGGATGTGTGCAGGGAATCACCCCTGCTCCTGGGATGCTCCTCCAAGGCCCTCCTGACCACAAGATCCACTCAAGGAGGGCAACTGCAGCCCTGGCAAAAGCTGGAGGCCTGAGAGTCCTTCTGAGGGTCCAGAGAGCAGAAGCCTGGCAAGAGCTCTCCGTGGAGGTGAGACTGAAATCAGAGCTTTTAAAAGCATTTAAAAGCATTATAAAATGCAGGCCATCCATCCCTGAGGAGTTCAACAGGAGTGCCTTATTCTGCTTCAGCTCTAATCTGTTCCTAATCAACTTAAGACAAATTTTCTTAAGCCAGATTTACAGCTGTTAAGAAGGATCCAGGCAGCCTTTTGCTCCAGAATTGCCATACTGGTTTTGTGGGAGCATCCACGTCTCTGAAGGGGTGGAACAGGGACCTCAGGAGCCACAGCCACGTCAGGTGTGGGGTCACAGAGCCAGGGCTGCCCCAGGAGCCCAGCACGGCATCCACGTGGAAAATGCAGCTGGAGATTAACTCTGTCCCAGTTTCTCATAATTAAGTAAGATTAACAGATAAATAGTCCCAGCAGCCACCAGTATGAGTAGCTCAGATTTGTTTCCAGTAAGGCAGCAGCAATGCCTTCAACAGCACTTTGGAAGTACAAATTCTGCTGATTCTGTGTCCCAAATCCATTGCTCCATCCACTGCAGCTCGCTTGGCATTTAAACCTGCGGTGAGAAGAGCTCTCCGAGGAGCCAGTGCTTCAGGCTGAGCCCTGAACATCCACCCAGCTCTGTGCAGAGCTCTCCACAATCAGCTGAAGGCAGTTTGGGACTCCTGCTGAAGTGGAAGAATTCTTTCATGTCAAAGCTGCACACAGATCTGGTAGTGACTGTGGCAATGGGAACACAACAGAGCTCCATGCAATGGCATTAAGTTCTCCAAGGGTCTGAACACTCATGTGAGATATTTTGTGACCAAGGTACCAACTGTGATTTTAATGTGCAGAACCCAGCTCAGAAGCTCTTGCATTCAGCTCTGCCACTGAAGGGGAGTTGCCAGGTCCCAGCTCATTCAGAATCCATCCAGCACATCTGAAGGAGTGGAGATCAAGGTCAGTCTAAACCTATGACTTAAACCCATCTTACCCTGCTCTTCAGGAAGAGGCAGCTTGAATTTAACACCATTTACAGCTGGAGGAGGGAACAAACCTTGATCATCACTAAGCTTTCAGTCAGGCAAGAACTGAACAAGATCCAAATCACACTAACTTGATAAAGTGCCTGTTGGATGTTTTTAGAGAAATTCTTCACCCCAATGCAGCTGGGGTTACTCCTTTGCATCCAGAGCAGAATGAATTACTTACACTTCTTGAAAGGTGCAGAAGTCTGCTCTAACATGGTGCCAGGCTCCTGAAACGCTGGCAGATGATCACTCCAACCCAGGCAGGCTGTGACAGGCTGCCAGGTGCCTCAGGTGTGGGACTGCACGAGGCGCTGTGCAACCCCTGATCCAGCTCCTGCACTAAGTGCTGCCAGTGCAGCAATGAAAAACAGCAACAAGACTTGAGCGTGATTAGTATTATCCAACTGCTTTGTTATAAATATATTATATACATTCAAACATCACATTAAAATATTATTCCATTACACCAGAAGAGATTAAGGCTTTATATTATTTACAGAAACAAGCAAGCACCTTAAAAAAATAAAAAGAACAAAACACCAGTCATTGACATTTCCCTTCTAACATTACGAGTTTGATACCTTGAGCTCTTGAATACAGCTATTTGCAGTGTGCCCAATGCTAGAACTATTTCAAACATTTATTGTCAGGGTAGGAAACACTTAATAGAAGACTCAGCAGTGAGCACTCCACACGAACAGACACACGTGTTGTAGGGTGCCCTCCCTCTCCTCAGAGGCTCCTGAAGTTGAAGGCTTATGCAGAAACTGCTCAATTTCATGTGGAGAGTACAACAATTTTGTTTTAAGGGAAACTGAAGACACTTGAGGATTGGTGGCCCCTGGAGGAGCGGGATTCTCTGGTCTGTTGCACATGACATCAATCAGGCTGAACATGATAGTGAAGACAGAGCTGGACGTGGATCAATCAGTGAGTGCATTGAGCAGTCATGATTTATAGGCTTCCATTGCTCCCCCCACTGCTCCACACAGCACTCCAACACCCAGTGACAAGGCTGTCACCTCTCCCTGCAGGTCTTAGGCCACGAGCTGTTGGGAAGTGTTCAGAATGTTGATACAACACACGATTCCTGCTCCCCCAGTGCCCCTGCAGTGCCTGTGGCGTGCCCGTACCTCACGGATACAGCGACGAAGCGAGTTCTAAGGTGTAAGCAGACATGGCTACACAAAAAGGTGCTCAGTGAGAGTAATCATCTTCATTTCAAGTATTGTTTTAAGAATTAGTTCTTTTCATTGTAGTCTGTGTTAGCACTTTTTAGTTTGTGCTTTAGAGTCTGTTATTTCTTTGCAGGTCTTGAATTTGGCTGATGGCTTTATTTTCTTTTTTCTTTTAAAAACAACATTGGCAACAAGTTAAGGATTGCAGAAGGCTGGCAGAAGTTACTTGATTTTCTGAGCCCATTTCATATCATCTGCTCTTGGCTTCTCACCAGTAAGTCCTTGGATGATGGTCTCCAAACATCTCCAAAATCTTATCTTCTCTAATGGATAATTCAGCCAACCTAAGGGATTGCAAAGGAGAAAGAGGATTAGTTTGTCGTAGCATCCAAAGTTCAGCATTTTTTTAATGAAGAAAAAAAAAGCAACCAGCCCAATACTGCTAATAATGGTCAGGCTTAAACTCTCAGGACATAGTAGGAATTAAAAATAGCTCTTTGGGTGGCAAGATTTTTGCTACCATCTGTCAAGTCAGGCTTCTTAATTGTACCATGTTTCTAGATGACATTCTGCTAATGAGAATTAGATTTTTTTTTCTTGGCAGAGGTTTCAAAACCCACATGAACCGTTTGTCGACGCCAATGACAGAATGAAGAACCAGAGTGGTTTATTTCCAGCTGTCTGATTAACTTGATAACTTATTTAGGATTGTGCAGCACTGGTGACTGAGCATTCCCACCTGTACAGATACAAAAGGAAGCTAAAGCTTTCTGCAAACATGTCCACTCCTCTGAGTCAGGATGAGTGGATGCTGAAAATCCAGGAGCCTGGCTTTTAGAAATGAGCATTCCAGAGCAGCTGCAGACACTCTGCTCTTCAGAAGGAACAGCAGCTTTAGAGAACAAGCCCCACGAGTGGCCTGAGCTCACCAAGACCCCGGGCAATCAGATCTCAGCACCATGACTGCTCTCTCAGGCTCTGGGCTCCTGCAGCTGATCACAGAGCTTCCCCCACAAAGGAAGGTGTGTGCCAAGCCCAGCTGCAGCTCTCCCGGGAGCCCTGAGAGCACTGATGCCCGCCCTGCAGCAGTGCCAGCCGTGCCATACCCGTGGTGATGCAGAAGTAGGTCTCGTGGGGGGACACGTGGTGGATCCTGTGGTGCTTGCGGGGCAGGATGATGTGCCAGTCCTGCAGGAACACGACCCAGCACGGGAGCCCGAAGTACGTGTGCGACCACTTGTGGATCTGGTTGGTCATGGTGATGAAGATGATGAGGGCAAAGACGTAGCACTCCCAGGGACAGGTCTCACACAGGGCCTCTGCAAAACACCACCAGCAGCTGTGGCAGGGCCCACTGCTGCCAGGACAGGCTCCTGGCCAGCCAGGGCTGCCTGCTGCTGCAGGAGCTGACAGGGACATCACCAGAGCTGCTCTGGCACAAGTGTCACATGGGCCAGTGAGCCACAAGCAATTCCCACATGTCACACGACAGGCTGGGAACTGCCAGAATCTGTCAGCACACCATAAACAGGAAGTCAAACTGAGTTTACCACCTATACAATTAATTTGACGCTTTAGTTCTTGACTTCTGCTTTGCACATAAAGCACTTGTGCACAGAGAGGAAGCATTGTTTTGTGTTACACACTTTGGGGCAATGAGTTTCCCCAGATGTTCACAGCTTGGTCCCTCTTATTAAAAAAGCATTTAGCATAACTTCTGGTCTTCCTTGTACAACTCCCCAGCCCCAGAGTCTCTGCTGAGCTAGAGAACCTCACCGTGCCACCTTCTGCCATCACATCTCAAAGGAAAGAAAGTTTCCCTCCCTCCTGCCAGGAGCACCATGCTTCCAGCAGCTATTTCTTGTCATATCACATCCATGGATTCCTCCAAACTTCTCACAGATAAATGTTCATTCAATAGCAACAAGAACACTAGATCCACAGCACTCAGAAGTAGCAGCTTACCCGGGGAAAAAGACACAAATTTGTATGCCATGTTGGCCAAGGGGACCAGTGTCATGAAGCAGTTGTCTCCATTGGTCTCGATGAAATCATGCCTGGTGATGGCTGTGGGGTCAATATGGTGTTCCCTAAAGGGTCTGATGAAAGCCTGGGAAAACAATTGGATAAACACAACACCACACTCAATAATGGTCTTGGAAAAGAAAAATATTACCAAAAAAAAATAACCTCAACAAACTCTCTTATACTCAAATCTGATGATTGAGTTGAAGAGAATTCCATAGTACACAGCATGTAAACAACATTCAAACTTTTGTCACGAGGACACTTCAGATCATGTGATTTACATTTGCAAGGCAATTCAGTTTCCCCACACAAATCCAGGTTTTCCTTGCTTTTCAGTTTTCTTCTTCTAAATTTTCACTTAGGACCTTCAGTATGTAATCTTAAAAACAAAGCAGCAGCACCCTAACTTCACAGGCAAAATAAGCCTGTGAAATTCACTTGCTAAGCAGAATCAACCAAGGGAAAAAAAAACCCACTAAAAAATTAGGACTCAGCCTACCATATTTATGGGCCACAGATGCCAGCACTGACAGACTAAATGCAAATTCAGTGACTGGACGAAGCAGTGGAAGACAAACAGACTACACAGAAGTCACCTCCAGGAGCAGAAATCCCATCTGAACACACAGAGCAATTGTTTTACTGTGTGGGGCACAGTTACTGATTTGCCTTTAACACTTCCAGCATGTCCAGCCTGTGCAAAGGTGTCCTGAGCAGCCTCAGCTCGTGGTGATTTAGTGCAGAGTCTCTAGCAGTAGGGTTTTTAAAAGTTATTTAAACCGTGGTCCAGAGACACAGAGGTTCAAGACTACTAAGCCTATTGAAGGTGAACAAAAAAGCCAAACTGAACAGTTTTAATTCTGTTGTAGTTTGTGTAACTCTGGATAATAACAAGGAATAGCCCACTTTTTTATATAAATAATGATCTTTCTAATATTGCACTGTGAGGAGTAATTAATGGTAGCTATTAAGAAATTTAATTAAGAAAACAGATTGTTGCCTACTACAGAAGCCAGTGCAGCTTGCACTAAGCAGCTGGCATTTGTAGCTGCAGGTGTATAATACATATAGAATTAAATCTTCAGTCACCACCGTTCTAATATCACTGTGTTACAACAGGGGCCCATAGAGGAGGGAACTGGAATGATTGTTCCTGCAGCAGCCCCATGTTTCACAAATCATTAGGAGTTCAGCTGCAGGGCCAGCTCTCCAAGTCTGTGTTCCTGACCTGAGCACACACAGTGCCCAGCCAGGTCCAACACTTGTGCTGGCACAGGCTGTGCCCACAGAGCCTGCAGGGTCTGCAGACACTGCCAGCCTCAGGCAGGTGACAGAAGGGAGCAGTGCCACCCCAGTGTCCCCCAGGGCAGGTGCAAACACAGCCCTGCCCAGCAGAGCCCAGGCTGTGCCCTGGGCTGGGTGAGGCACAGAGCCAGAGCTGGGAGCACTGGCACTGCTGCAAAAGGCACTGCACAGCTTTCCTGAGCTTGAGGAACAACCACACACCTTTCCAATGATGGGCAGCTCCACAGATCCCCAGGTGTCTGCTCCCCAGTGGAACAGTCCTGAGAGGAAGTCAGCTGTAACAACTCCTGCAACTGGAATGAGAGACAGAGTCAGACAAACACAGCATTTTACCGACTCAGTCACATCTAATTCTTATTTCAGCAGTTTACTTGTTTATCTGCCTCTAACTTAGGTATTTACAACCATGTGGGACTACCCAGTCTGAATAAACATACAGCGAGGCAGTTAGGAAAAGGAGCAAGACACCATTTGGACAGCAGCAATCTTCATTAAATCTGTATTTGTGTTTAGCCCATCTCCTACAGAACATAAATACCTCCCCTAGTGGGTACCTTTTGCTTGGCTGACCCCTCACCTCTGCAGTCCTTCCCCTCACCTTTCATTTTCAGAGAGGGAGAACAAATAAAAAAGCTCTTCTCCTATTATAAACCAGCCCCTGCTGTTGAATCCATTATCCAGTTGGCCCAAACTCTTACATGCAGCAGGAGACTCTTCATTCTTTATCTACCCCTTATTACACTGAGGACAGCTCGTTTTCCAAGCAGTGGATTCTGTGCATTTGTTCTTGTTTCAGACCACACACAGGCCACAGCAAGGGCGGGTGGGACACAATAGCGTTTAGATCTGCTCCCAGCAGCTGAAAGGGCAGGCAGCCTGGGCTCAGGGCAGGATATCCAAACAACACTTCTCTTTGCAAGACTCAAATGCCATTCTCGCTGAGGTAATGCCCCCATTAGCCTGCCTTGCCTCCAGCTGCTGCATCACCCCAGCGAAACAACTGCAGCAACAGCAACGCAAATTGAGGCAAAGCACTGACAGCTCAATAGATGCTCCTCGCGCCGCTTTGATGTCAGCTGGTAAAGGGAAGAATGGAGGGTGCCTGGAGCAGTGCATTATACTAAAGCAATTGGGAAAAACCGAACTACCAGCAATCTTGCTCCAGCTGTACTGCAGCAGGGTGTGTTCTCCCCTCTGCCTCCTCTGTGCACGGTGAGTCACAACAAAAGAGCAGGAGCTGTGCTGAGGCTCCAGCGTGGTGACACGGTGTGTGTCCTGTCCCCGGGCTCAGAGGGCACATCCCACTGATGAGCTGGGTGCTGACCCCCACACACCCAGCACTGCCTTCACTGAGCATGGCACACCAAGGCACGGGAGCCCAGCTGCTGCCCAGAGGTGGCACAAGGTCTCAGCGCTCTGTCATCGAGGCTGGGAGGGTGAGAGCAGACTGACAGCCCTGAGCATGGGTGAAGTGTTACCCACACACTCAGAAAAAGCAAGACAACCCCAGCTCAGTGCAGCATCAGGGAAGTCCTGACCCACACACACTGGCTTTCCCCCAGCTCACAGAGAGGGCAAGGATGGGCCCACGCAGGGGCTATCCCTGAGGAGGAGGGGATGCTCAGAGCACACAGAGGGAGGGCAGAAGGACACCAGCTGCAGGGCTTGCTCAGAACACTGGCATTCCTTGTTTTGTAAGCAGACTGCAGAATAAGCAGGAAGGAAGGCAGCCCAGCACACAGGGAACCCAAAGGTGCACAAAGGGACTCCAAGCAGTATCCAAGCAAACACTCAGCTGCCACACACATTTGCTGGAAATGCTGCTCTGTCCCATTTCCCCACACCTGTGATCCTGTGTGGGCACCTCCCAGGCACAACACCAGGGGCCTCTCCCCCGAGCAGGACATGCAGCTGGATAAGCCCCTGCCCCAAATAAACGGACACAGCTCTGTCCTGCTTGTGTCCAGCTCAGAAACCAGGGAACGTGAAACGTTTGTGACCCAGGAAAGGCCCCTCTCCAGTGCTTCAGTCAAACTGAGAGACAACCTGCAAGCTCTGAGAGTGGGTGACTCTCAAACCACTTCCCGTGGCCAGGCTGCTCCTGGGGCCTGCAGAAGGAGGAGGCCCCACAAGAGCCTCGAGACACAAAACTGCTGGGCACATTTACCATTAAAACCTGTACTTCACCAAAATTGCATGAGCTGAGTAAGCTTGGCTTTGCATAGATTGAATGATCAAATTGTAACCTGGAAGTCTTACATCAAAGTATACAAAGTTTCATATTCACAGTAAAAATCCAGTTAGAGCCTCTGGAGGGGAAGAAAGCACGATATGATGTTATTTAATAACTTGATGCTATTGTGTAACATCACTAGGAAGTACAGCCGTGTTTAATCGGGGCTGTATGAACTGGTTGAACAGCATTAAATGGTCTGCATGGCTAACTTCACTCAGAAAAAATCTTGTTGGCTACATATCAATATGCCAAAGTACCAGTTGTTTGTCACTTATATACTTATGAAAATAAAATGCCTTAGTCACCTGGAGTCCCCATTTAGTGACTCTCAGTACAGAGAGAGGGACTTTGAGCCAGAACTGGACCTGAGAGTGCCCACAAGTGGCACCCTTGGAGCTGTGGGGCAGCAGGGTGTGGACACCTGAGCCAGGGGCCCAGCACTCACCTCAGCCAGCACTGATGTCTCTGGAGTGTTTTCCACCAAGGTGTGCCACAGCTCCCGTGTGTTACACACTCCTGTCTGGCTCTGCAATGCAGCTGACCAAGGGCAGCCCTGCAGAGCTGCTGGAGATTGAAACAAAGAGTTCTGGGCCTTGAGGAGATCCAGTTTCTATTCTGAAACTGCCCTAAGTGATTTCCTCCTGTGTGCTCTCTGGCTAACCCACAAGCTCTGCAAAACTGAAACATGCACCTCATATGGGTTAAAAAATAGCTGCCCATCTTTCAAGAGAGCAGTAATTAATTGTAACTTGTATCATGTCACAAGATGTTCCTAAAGATATCTGCTCTATGTGGGGCAGTTCCTAGGAATATAAACAGGTTACAACACAAAGTTAACTCTTCTTTTTTTTGTAATACTGCAATGAACAGTGCCTGTCACCAACCCATGTGGCTGCAGATAACAGTCACATGCCTGAAACAAGTCAACCAATTTGGAAAAAAGGGGCTTAAAACCCTATACAAAAATAGGAGGAAGGAGAGGAAATGAAAACCAAGATTCATGCTGTAACTTGCCAAACTTTTATCTAGATGTTATTAATATATGAACTATATACTCAGCTCGTGTATATTGAATAGGCTGGACACCACAAGCTCACCTGAAGGTAGGAGGACTTTCAAGCCTGCTATTACATGTCTTGGTGAGGCTTTTCTGCTTGCCACACAATGATCCCTTTGCCAGCCTTGTCCCTGGCACTACCAACCTTCAATTACAGTGGCAGAGGCTGCTCTGGCTCTGTGGCACTGCTGGCATGCTGTCCTGCTGCACTGGGAAACACGGGGGTGCTCCAGCTGCCCCACAGCCCCGTCCCCAGCCAGGCTGCCTGCCTGCACTGCGTGCTTGTGTGCATGCAAATCCAACACCAAACTGAGACCTGAGAAAGAGGAACAGCTCCACGGCTGCCCAGCAGCTGAGCATACCCAGAGCAGGGCACGACTGCAGCGAGCACAAGCCTCAGCAGAAATCCATCCTCTGCCCACTCTTTTTTCTTTTGGTGAGGGGGGAAGGAAATGGTCTCATCTCTGCTAAAGCAGCCTGGAAGGCAAGAGAGCCCCGTGGCTCTTCCTGTCCAGCACGCTCATCTTTAGTCAGCAGGACATGACACAGCCTGAGCTGCTCTGAGGCGAGGCCACCGAGNGCAGAGCAGAGCAGAGCAGGGCTGCACAGGAGCTGCAGTGAGGGCACAGCAGAGCAGAGCAGAGCAGAGCAGGGCTGCACAGGAGCTGCAGTGAGAAGCTGCCCAGGAGGAGCCCTGCTGCCCTGAGGGAGCCCATGCAGGGCTGTGCTGGCCAGCCCTGGCAGCCAGGGCTGCAGAGCTCGGTGTGATAGAGCCTGGCTGCTGATCAAAGGCTCTTGAGCAATAACCCCTGCACATCAGCAGCGGCTGCTGCCAAGAGCCGTGGACTTCCCTGGGCTGGAAGACAACTGATAAAGCAGATGCTGAGAAAAGCAGTGATGCCTGCATTGGGCAATCTGAGTGAGACTAAGGGCTACTGGAAAATGTTATTTGGATTTTAGCTCTGCAATTGCAGAAGCCTGACTTGCTAATGGCTCCCAGTTTGTACCGTGCTTGCGTTTAGTTTTTACTTTTGCAGAGCATTTTATTTAGAGGAATAGATGCTCCTGCTTTATGGGGAAATCTAACACTCCTCGGTAGTTCTTCCTCTGTCAATAACAAATAACAAATATGTGTTGATAGTGCCCTCCCCAGAGAGAGGGGAGCTTGCCTTGTGAGGGATGGGGCACTCACAGCAGGTGGATTCCAGCAGGAATGAGGCACTCAGCCCTCCTGCCATACAGGGACACAGTCCTTGGGCCAGGCTGGCACTGTGCAAAGGGATTGGCAGAAAGGGCAAGGAGGCAAATCTGCCCTGGTGAAGGGGCCTGGGCAGAGGGACCCATCCCAGCAGCCCGGGGTTCTGGGGAGGCTGTGGCAAGCCTGACACTGATGGGAACCATTCCCAACAGCCAAGGGATGATTTTCCCACTGACCTCAGGGAAAGGAGAAGGGAAAATTTCACTCTGGTGTTCCATGCCAAGTCTGAAAGGCAGTGCTAGGAAAGGACAGGGGCCTTCAGCAGCAGGCGCTCCTCTGCAGGAGCTGTGTGACCAGAGGGACCCTGGCTGTCAGTGAGCCCTAAGCCCAGGCTGCTGGTTGCTGTTTACTGCGGCCGGGGCCTCTATTGCACCGATGGGAACTCCCTGCTCAGCTCCAGGTGGTCCCTCCAGGGCAGGGTTGAGGCGCACTGGTGAGAAGGGGTGGGGTGGGGTGGGAGAGGCTCTCATTGCTGCCCTACCTGTTCTGGGCATAAATTGAAATGATCAGTCTCTAAATCCTGCCAATTAGGAATGCTTTACTGGCATGGGAGCCAGTTTACTGGGACAGGCAGAGCAAAAAGGTTTCTCTCTCTCTCTCTTTTTTTTCTTTTTTTTAAAGAGGATCACCCTTTCCTACAGCTGCCACCCAAGGGCCCTGGCCTGGGAGAGCACAATGAGATGGTTCCACAGCTCTGACAGTGCTCACCAGGGTGGGAGCTGTGCTCCCAGCCAGTGCCTTC